GGTTCGATCATGGGTACAATGTGTGAAGCCCATTTCTGTTGTCCCCGCCGTGATATTGCTGGAATATCACTCATTTCTAGATCCCAACATTATGTCGCTTGTAAGAGGGCGTAACTGGATCGAGAGGGCAAGCTCGGTGACTTGGTTGATTGCGTGTCATCGTACCTCGAATTGTGGGGCGTTCCTCATAATATCAACCACTGGTTTGTCAGGTCCAGACTCGGATTATATACAGGTACCTGTGAAATGGTTGATTGCTACTTAACTGCCTAACAAAAGTAAGTATACACTTGAAAATTGAATTCGACCAAACAAATTACAAACGTTATCAAAACGCTGCTAGGCTAAAACGCTTCCCCGAAACACTGCAAACTTAGATTCAAAACACAACTATGATACCCGTATCAAATACGTCACCATCGAAAAACCATATTTTTGTGTGTTCCCTTTTCAGCCACAAATATGAGTGTTTACTTTCTTTTGCCCGGTAGTGTAGTTAATATACATAATTTCACGCAAATGTATGATAAAATCATTTTAAAGGCCATAGTCGACGATGGCTTTGCAAATCGGAAAGCAAATGTGATACAGATGTCGCTGAAGACGACGTCACACTGCGGTGGTTGATCTACCGGAAGCTCTCGTACAATCTATAATATCATCTGGGGACTGGGAACCTGGTTATAATGTTGTTTGTTTGTTGTTTTACGCCGCACTCGGCACTATGCCAGCTATATGACGGCGGTCTGTAAATAATCGAGTCTGGACCAGACAATCCAGTGATTAATATCATGAGCATCGATCCACGCAATTAGGATTCGATGACATGCATCAACCAAGTCAGCGAGCCTGACCACCTAATCCAGTTAGTCGCCTCTTACGACAAGCATAGTCGTCTTTTACGGCAGGGTGGGTTGCTGAAGACCTATTCTAAACCGGATCTTCACGGGTCGGTTATAATGTAGGGACCGCCGATGAATTATAGCTTTGCTGAGATAAGGATGTTTACCACTTGCCATGGAAACTGGAAGTGTTAACAAACACCCACCCATCTTCGAAATAGAATCTATCCAGTGTTTTAAGCAGTTTAATAACAGAATTACATTTTATTAATATCATGTTCATTTTATGAAGATTTAAGACACGCACTTTTTAAATATTGGATTTTAATCCTACAAGTCGGAAAATGTACAAGTCTTATAACGCATGCACACTTTATAAAATGTATAAACGAAAGCAATTATTTAATTTTTAACATGATAGTAGCGCACTATGTGTATTATTATGTACAATATTCTTTTGTACAGGATACGAAGAGTATCTTGACGTTTTTTGTATATATGTATTTACTTATTGTGACTTAAGCCTATTGGTTGGACATTATTTTGAAATTGTATGCCCAATTTGTTTATGTACACAGCTTATGTAACGTATCACACATAAAAATAAATTGTCATCGAATCGGATTGTCTGGTCCAGGCTCGATTATTTACAGACCGCCGTCATATTGCTGGAATATTGTTGAGTGCGGCGTTAAACAATAAACAAACAAACAAACATACACATACACATACATAAATAAATAAACCATTTCTCTCTTATCGTCACAATTGTGTAACAGCGACAATGGACATTTATTTAAAATTTATAGATCTATCTACGGCGGACCGAGAAACATACCAGATGACAGAGAGTTATGCACGTCAGTTCGTCATGGTACAGTTAAATATGCCTGATGTGACTAACGGTAGTGTACATCCGATTGACAAGGCAAGCCGTTTAGTAGGAAGAGACCAGTGATGTAAGTCGACCCAGGGCTACGCATGCAGTTCAACAGGTTCAAGCACAAATGCTCAGAGCTAGAAGCGTACAGAAATACCCTAAGTCTTTCTAAGGGCAATAATCCAAAGCAAGCCCTGTCTTCATGAAGAGGATCTGTCTTGTGGCGTCAAATATGAACGCAAGAAGATGATAGAAGGTGAGGTGAAATGGGGTTTAACGTCGCGTCCAAGATTATGCACTTATATAGCGACGTGACCGGACTGATGCCGATTTATAGTGCTAGCTCACTGAGATACCATGTCGCAGTTTAACATGAATACCCCACTCAGGCACAGTATACTGACTCCGAGCCGACCAGTCCTTGTTTTAGCCCCTTAATGCCGAGCGCCAGACAGGGTAACAACAAGTACCATCTTTTAACGTCTTTTGGTATGACGCGGCCGGGGATCGAACTCCGGACCTTCCGCTCCCCGGGCGGACGCTCTAGTACTAGACCACGGAGGCGGTCGAAGATGATGGAAAGCCAGACACAATCCGTGAACGGTACCTATGATTTAACCGATTCTAAGTGGACGCACGAGTGTAATTACCTATTACCTTTGATGCACCTAAATCTTAGTGAACGGGAGACAGTTTACCTGTGATTTATCTGGATCTAAGGAATAGACCTTTTGAGGAGGAAGGAGGGGTTGGGCGGGGGGGGGAGTATCATACTTCAGACTGAAGATAAACATTTGTCTGCCACAAAAAATACGTTGTTTTAATTCAAAAGGTATCTGGTTTTGCATCTGTACCTAAAACATTATCTAATCTCCAAACAAATCAAACTACACCCACCCCTCCCCAACCCACCCCACCCCCAAATATCAAATGGTCGGTCCCTATGAGGGTCGCCAAGATGGTAAATCCTCTGCATGGGCAATAGGAGAAAGTATACACTATAGGGTTGTGGCAAAGGACGAAGATACATTGGACATATTGTGTTTTCATGTCCCCACATATCCTCAGCTGAAGTCATGTACTGGTTCAGAAGCTCACTCTATCTGATTATTTAAAGAGCAGTTTTGGTACATGACAAGGCTGTATGCTCAGTCCAGTGTTGTTTACCTTATTTCAAAGAGAACTCTCTAACATGCATCTTGTAGACTACTGTAAAGGCATCGCTGAAAATCGAAATATTGATAACATCATGGCGCTTATGTATGCAGATATTTCAAATGGGAGTGACACTTTCGGGATATTGCAGTGTCAGATAAACACCCTGACTCAGTCCTGTGACATACATGTTTGGTATTAAAGTCAACTTGGACAAAGCAAAGGTTATTTTGTTAAGAAGAGATGACATATTCATATCAAATTCGAAGTGGGGGTTAAATAATAATCTAATAAATATCTTGGAATATTTTCTCCTTTACATTACCTTCGAGCTTAGCAAGAACAACCTTGCCCAAGGCTGTTTCTATTTGACAGGGTGATCACTCCAATCCTGACATATTTATCTGAGACTGCATTGTATAGAGAAAGTCCATTTGCAATTCTGCAGAAAATTACTTAATGTTACCTGAGTGAACACCTCTACGATATATATATATGGTGAGCTGGGAGACATCCCTTAAGGCAAAATGTAAGGCAAATTACATTATATAATGGATGCCAAAGCTTAATATGCTTAGTTTTTAAAAACCCGAAGGCATGTTGTATAATGTTTTATAGAATCTGGACAGTGCCGGATAACGAACCTGGGCACCACATGTTAAATCCCTTTTTAATCATCTAGGTTTAGGCTCAGCTCGGATAAACCAGGGCTTCGGAGATGTCTAGGCATTGTACAGATGATGAGGAGACTCAGAGACTTCTGCATCTAATTATATCAGATGAGTGGAAGACTCAGACATTTCTTCTTCTATTGTAGTCCCAGTTACAACCTCAGGAGTACATATTCAAATTCAAATGTTATTGTATGATCGGCCTTAGCCCAAATACATGAAGTGCATTCAATACAGTACAGGATCATTTCACAAATAGATTTACGTGTTTCATTTCAGTACATTTCTGGTCTTAAAAGTATACTTAGTATTTGAAATACTAGTTTAAAATAACAGAATAGAAATCTTAATAATGTAATGCCCATAGGGCGAGTAAATTTTGGACTGATGGTCGAATTACTTATTTATTTGGCATGTATTGGTTTCGAATATTTAAGGAGGGGCCTTTAAAGATGAAATGATACAGATCTTCGATATTGTCTTAGTTTCAATATGTACATAATCTTTCAGATTTTAGAATTGTTATGGTGTCTCCCGTTATCAATATTAAGCCTTGTACATCCAACTCGATAACGAGCACAATCGCCAGCAAATGTACATAAGGTCGAATCTATTAAATATGTCTTCTAGGCTTATCCAGGTGTATAACATCCATATCTAGATGATAATGTATCAGTTCATTCTCGGCTGTCCATATTTTTCATATATACCATGGACAGGAATTTGAGTGTAGCTGTGACTCGCTCCGGGTAGTCAAATCACACGGTGTATAGAAACTGGAGAAGGATAACAATTGAGGAATCAGCATTATTGTAAATCATGGTTTTGTAGATACTTTATTTGTTGTTAGCTGTGCATTGTACTTCTCACATGAGTGTGTGTTAAAATTAGGTTGAAGGGAGATAACTCTTTGCTTGAACTATTTTGAAGTTTTCCGAAATTTACCATTTGACAACCATGTATGTAAGCACGTTGTTTTGTTCATGGATATTTGTGTTAATAAATTGTTGCAATAAGAACACTTATGTATTGGTGGCTATGCATTTATTATATTTTATTCACATGTACTTTAGACTGGGGGGCCTGTTACAGCGAAGAAAATATTGGCTCTTGACGCTTTGAGATATATCTAGCGAGGTTTTACTGTATGTTCCAGAGGAAAATAAAGTGTCCAAAAGCTTCAGTTTCCTTGAATATCTTTATTGCAATCCATACACATTTTCCATAAATGTTTAAATATTACACACGAAATATGCATATATCACGCACAATAGATTTGTTCTTCGTGTAGATGTATTGGGAATAAATACAAAAATATAAATCATTATTCAATGTTAATAAGCATTGTGTTATACACTTATTCCTAGCACTGACAAATGAGCAATAAACTGAACACAGCACTAAAATATTAATTCCAACAATTTACAAGCACACTGCATATTTCTAACATCATCACATCCTGCACTGGTGGGTTATAACCTGTGCTGTGACAAAATCCATTTCATCGTCACTGAGATCTTCAAAGGTTGTCTCCCCTTCATCCGATATGACCACGTTTCCAATCTGATCCTCCAGATGGCGCACTTCACGAAGACTTTGATTTGCCTGAATTGCAGAAAAATCTGGGACAGAATACGTTGAAAATGTCGCAAAACGTTTCTCGACACCAACATCATCAACTAACGCTTCACTTGTAGATCTGTCTGTGTCATTACACAACTCATCATCCTCATCCTCATCCTTCTCTTCATCCTGGTGTTGATCCACCGCCACCTCCTCAAATGACTCCTCGGGTTCTTCTTCTTCCGCTGACGGGTCCTGTTCTTCCTCAGACGTTACGCCATCTCCATCTTGCTGCCATCCACTGTCATGCATCTTGGACCTGGCATATTCCAGGAATAGACTTCTGACCCCTTCAATAGTCGCCAACCTCAGTCTCAGAGCATAGAGATAGGCGGAGTTGATGTTACCGTGGTTCATGTTGTAACGCCGGATGATGGCGTTGATGCAGGCGTTGAGGCGTTCTACAACCTGCATGGCTCTGTGGAACTCTCGAGTGCGTCTTCGATGTCCATGCAGTTCTGAAAGTAATCCGTCCATGACCTGCGAACAATGAAACGCAATGTTTATTTTAGTAAATGTGGGTCACAAAGAGTTAGTACATAACGGCCGACTTTATTCACATCTACTGTGGGGCGACCTGGTGGATAGAACTAATGTGAAATTGGAAGTTTTAAGTAAACGAAGAACGTATCAAGTAAACGTGTAACGAACTATGGATATTTACATCAAGCTAGAAGACAGTATCAAGTAAACGTGTAACGAACTATGGATATTTACATCAAGCTAGAAGACAGTATCAAGTAAACGTGTAACGAACTATGGATATTTACATCAAGCTAGAAGACTGTATCAAGTAAACGTGTAACGAACTAAAGGTGTTTACATCAAGCTAGAGGACCGTATCAAGTAAACGTGTAACGAACTATGGATAATTACATTAAGCTAGAAGACAGAATCAAGTAAACGTCTTACGAAATAAGGATAGTTACATTAAGCTAGAAGACAGAATCAAGTAAACGTGTTACGAAATAAGGATAGTTATATTAAGCTAGAAGACAAAATCAAGTAAACGTGTTACGAAATAAGGATAGTTACATTAAGCTAGAAGACAGAATCAAGTAAACGTCTTACGAAATAAGAATAGTATTACTTATATCCATGAGGTAAAGGTTTGTATATAAATCTGATGGAATTTTGGGATATTTACGCCAGGATAGCAGAGACAGTATATGTAGACATTCAATTTAATATGCATGCGTCCGTTTGCAAATACATCCCGTGCTTAGTGCCCTTGGAAACTTTGAATCACAAAAATATATGCAAATATATATTTTTAAAAATCAACATGACTATCAAAAGTGATATTATGTTTTATGTAGGGGTTATGCGTTACATACCTCTTCTTTCTGCTGCGGTAATCCAAGTGTAGTTATCCAACAAGACCTGCGGTTAGTGTGTGGTCAGTTTTATATGCACCGAGTCCTGTCATCGAAATCACTTAATCTTAGTCACTAATCCAACAAGGGTTCAAAAGCTGGATATTGAAGATGGGATGTGACAACGAATTAAAGTATTAAAGATTAGACAATTAATGATGAGATGAGGTAGCAAGAGATTAAGGATTAGGATTAAAAGATTACACTTGACGGATGGAGAATATCCTCAGTGAAAGACGCTCTCACAACAATGGCTGGAAAGATAATACACACAGATACGTGTAAGCCAAGATTATTGAATAAACAATCATAGAACCTTGGGGAACAGCTTTCAGAGACCTACTGGGATTATAACTTAATCTGTAATCCTGTCAACACTGACCCGAATGTGATTTTAAACCGGAGGTTATGTATTTAAACGGTTTATGGCGTCTGGTCCATTCACCCAATAAAATATCGGATAAAATTTAATCTTATTTTTTCTTTTAAAATAATGCAACGCCAGACATGTGTTATCAAGATGCACAAACGTGCCTTTAGAATATATCATTTTAACTATTATATCGGAGATAGTTGTAACGAAACGCAACGTCATCAGTTTGTGGACATTTGTGAAATGGATTTAAAAGAAATCTACCTTTGGTGTCATTTTGTGTTCATTGGTGTCACATAAACAGTCGGGCAAACGAAAGTAGACACGTGAAAGCCTCGGTGGCTGAGTGGGTTAGATCGCTGTCTTTGTGTGCTGGCGATTAGATGCCTCACTCTGGCAGCGTGAGTTCGAATCCCGGACGGGACTCAACCCAAAAGAGTACTGAAATCTGTACTTTACTAAGAAAGTGTTACCACAAATATAATATTTGTTACAAGAAAATTCACATTTCACTCTGTCCATAACTGTGTATTGTGAAATTGCGACCCTCGTGTTCCTTCAGATGTCATGTGCACGTCACCTGTTGTGAGATACACATTGATGTGATGCATACCAGTAACAAATGCGAATCAAATTGTTCCATTTTTAGCCACAAAAAAACATCGGTGTATATTTTCTGTTTCCCTCCAGTTGATGCTCATATTCCGCCAAACACCAAACTTAAAATTCATCTCTACTTTCAGCCGCATTTGAAGCTTCACGGGTCTCGTCTATAATCCATATACATGAATATACAAAACAAAAACAAAACATTGAAACTCTCAGCATGGATCCTGACATTTTTACAAGGTTCTGCTTCTTAATGCGGATTAGCAAGATTCTTTATAGATGTATGACACGAGATGCCTCAAGGCGCCATATTAATGACTGTCAAAAATACCTACAGAAATCTCTTGAATAGTTATTACCCTGTACACTGGACTTATTTTCGAACAGTTGTCACTGTTTGAGAGTGTATATTGTATTGTTTGCCGTATTGTGCTGTATCGCCCATATATAAATATGCCACCGATTAGGTAGGCCATACGTTCCATTCGACATAAATCTCATGACACATTGGTAGTTTTGCAAAGGCACGTCTCTTTTTCGTGCTGTGCAGTAGAACGGACATAAAGTGATCACGTGATTGTTACAGTTCCAGATCGTCAGCAAGTCCAATCATCTATTTAGTCTCTTGCGTTCTCGGTTCCAAGGGACCGTTTCTCACCGGAATCCCCACGAGGTGGCATTGTCTATTACAGATAAGGTAAGCATTAACTGTTTGTTTGTTGCTTAACGCCGCACTCAACATTACACAGCTATGACGCCAGTCTGTAATAATCGAGTCTGGACTTGACAATCCGGTGATGGATATTGTGAGCAACGATCCGCACCGTCGGGGTACGACGACATGTCTTTCGTCGCCAGTTAGGACCAGCATATGTAGGACCTATTCTAACCAGAAATCACCAGACTGTAATATACATTTATGATAAACACAAACAAGTTGTGTCGGAAGGCCTTGGCCCAAACTGGCATGGGTCGGCCATGAACCCGCCTTGTTGCCCTTTACCAGGAGATTCCAGGAATAATCTCTAAATTTAGGATTTAGGTTCTTTGAAATGAATAGAATTGTAAAATTCCTTCCCGAAACCAAATTCTATCCTATTCCATCCATGTCGTGGTTGTGGTTTAGACATATATATTTTCAAAAATAAATGTGAAAATGGATTGGTAAACAAGCGAAGCGCTTATGTTAATACCGCTCCATTACACATAAGACATGATACAATGAATACATCAATGAAGCTTAGATGTAACACATGAATTGTACGTGCCACTAGATGTGTATATATAATAAATCTATTTGCAGTTTATATTAAACAATTCATTTAACTGAAAATCTGCCAGTTTTTAATATGAAGTTTTGAATAGAATCTAATGTTTGGACTTGCTCTTCCTTACTCAAATACGCATAGCACTGTTTGTAAAGAATAACCACGTTGTGAAAAATAAATTCATTTCGAAGAAGGTAGTAATTTGTACACACAAACAAGAATTGTAAAGCATCTTCGGTATGATATCCACAGGAACATGTTTTTGTATCCAAAATATATCTATCATACTGATCTGCGTTATGATCGCTGCAGCCAAGCCTGAGGCGACTGTGAGTAATTTGACATAACCTGTTTCTATAATTTAAATCCCAGTGTATACCATTATCTCCCCTTACGTGGAGATTCTTAAATTCTCGTAGTTGTGTGTTGACATTCCCAAGTGCAGTTTGAAGGACTAGACATAAGTTAAACAAGCCAAATATTACTTAACACGTCTGTCAATCATGTTTTATAACCTAGTTATAGATGAATGTACAGTTACCTTGGTCAATATAGAAATAAATGATTACTTAATTTCTGCCGCAGACACTAATTGCACCGTCTGCCCGAGCCCGTTTGTTTGTTTGTTGTTTAACGCTGAGTGGGCACGAGGCTTTGGGGATGATTTTACTTCATGGATATATTTTCTTTTCTTAACTGTTGTATGGTAATAGTCAGAGCGTTGTTTGTTTGTTTGTTGTTTAACGCTGAATGGGCACGAGGCTTTGGGAATGATTTTACTTCATGGATATATTTTCTTTTCTTAACTGTTGTATGGTAATAGTCAGAGCGTCGTTTGTTTGTTTGTTTGTTTAACGCTGAATGGGCACGAGGCTTTGAGGATGATTTTACTTCATGGATATATTTTCACAGAAATATACCAGCTATATGATTACGGTCTGTAAATAATCCAGACTGGACCAGATACTCCAGTCATCAATGCCCCACGCAATTGGGATACCATGACATCCATTCAAACAAGTCACCAAGCCTGGCTATCCGAACCATTTAGTCGCCTCTTACGATAAGCATAGGTTGCTGGGGACCTTTATTGTTACCCGAAATTCTACGGTTTTGTGTTACTAGATCGAACGTCTACAGATGAACGCTTCAGTAGGGGCACACATATGCATGTACGTGAATTTTGCTTCTAACAGTCACGGTCAAGAATGTTTTTGAGACGCGTATGATTATCTCCCTTTTGACGCCAGGAGTTTGGGTTGTTAAACGCCGGCCTGTCAATATCCGAATCTAAGACACCGAGGCTCAAAGCAATGAACCAGACCATCCTCCGATCCACATACCAATCAGTTCTAACAACAACAACAACAACAAAAACAGAGATAGGTAACTGTTTCTTTTACGACAGTAGCCATTGCATAACTGACATATTTATTTAGTTGTGAGTAAGTTGAGTTTAAAGCCGCTTTTACCAGGAAAGCCCGAAGTGATGTAGGTCTCAGACGTTTACCACTGATTGCACTGATTTCACACTGATTGCCGAGAACGTGAGCGAGTTTTGCAAGTATGGAAATTTTTGGCATTTTGGTAACAGTAAGGTGCAAGAGTGAGTGAGTGAATTGGGTTTAACGCCGCTTTTAACAGTATTCTAGTTATATCACGGCGTGTCAGCTTAATGTGGGAGGAACGCCCGAAGTGATGCAGGTCTCAGACGTTTACCACTTCGGCGAAACCAACGAGCACGGGTATGGTGCTGACAAACCCAGAAACATAATAGGGGCGAATCGGGATTCGAACCCACAATCATAGGTTTCTGGCATGTCCAAGGGACGCAACTCTGCACAGCGAATC